CAGGCCCTGTAACTAAACGTTTCTCAGAAAAAAAAACCATTCTACAGGCCCTGTACATTTCTCAGATAAACCATTCTACAGGCCCTGTAACTAAAAGTTTCTCAGATAAACAATTCTACAGGCCCTGTAAATTTCTCATATAAACCATTCTACAGGCCCTGTAGCTAAACGTTTCTCAGATAAAACATTCTACAGGCCCTGTAACTAAAAGTTTCTCAGATAAACCATTCTACAGGCCCTGTAAATTTCTCAGATAAACCATTCTACAGGCCCTGTAACTAAACGTTTCTCAGAAAAAAAAAACCATTCTACAGGCCCTGTACATTTCTCAGATAAACCATTCTACAGGCCCTGTAACTAAAAGTTTCTCAGATAAACAATTCTACAGGCCCTGTAAATTTCTCATATAAACCATTCTACAGGCCCTGTAGCTAAACGTTTCTCAGATAAAACATTCTACAGGCCCTGTAACTAAAAGTTTCTCAGATAAACCATTCTACAGGCCCTGTAAATTTCTCAGATAAACCATTCTACAGGCCCTGTACATTTCTCAGATAAACCATTCTACAGGCCCTGTAACTAAAAGTTTCTCAGATAAACAATTCTACAGGCCCTGTAAATTTCTCATATAAACCATTCTACAGGCCCTGTAGCTAAACGTTTCTCAGATAAAACATTCTACAGGCCCTGTAACTAAAAGTTTCTCAGATAAACCATTCTACAGGCCCTGTAACTAAAAGTTTCTCAGATAAACCATTCTACAGGCCCTGTAACTAAAAGTTTCTCAGATAAACCATTCTACAGGCCCTGTAACTAAAAGTTTCTCAGATAAACCATTCTACAGGCCCTGTAACTAAAAGTTTCTCAGATAAACCATTCTACAGGCCCTGTAACTAAAAGTTTCTCAGATAAACCTGGCATATATTTTAAACAGCCATATTAAATTACACGGCCGTGAACCTGGCCATTAAGCGGGAAATAACCGTCAACTCAGTCGTCTGCAAACCGCGTGATTCGAAGGATGGTAATACTGACATTTTAGACCGGGTTAAACCGGGAATTAAGATTTCATTACGGCAGACAGAATTGAAATTATTGTCAATCATTACAGTAAACACAATTACACTGTATTTATCAGAACAGATTCACTAGTCCTTGTTACGTCTTTAGTGCTAATTATTTTATCTACATCGATGCTACATACAAACAATGACAGGGCCATATTTCTGTACTAGAAAGGTTTGGTTTTTGTCTTGTTCAAACACAGATTTAACACTAGCCTCATCTGTCTCAATACAAATGTTTTACTTTCTCAATACGTCCTTTTTGACCGTCCAACTTTTTAATTTGTCCGTATTTCTTCTTAAATCTACACATACAACCTTTTCTTGATCTCTCTGTACACTCTATTAGCCATGTAGGCCTACTCTACAGCTTTCCTTCTGTTCGATCTACACGTAGGCCTACACCTACATCTTTATTCTTCAGTCCCCCTGTACACTGTGTTAGCCTAAGCCATGTACTCAACAGCTTTCCTTCTGTTCGATGTACAACTACACCTACAACCGTTTCTTTATCCCTCTACACACTGTATTAGCCATACACTCGTTTCCTTCTGTTCGGATTGGACATCAGTTACCTGAACGTTCCCCTCCCCACCCCCACCCCTGCCCCAATCCACACTGTCCGGTCCCAGAGATAAATGGCACCCTGACATGCGAGCCTCGCCAGGGGATCAAAGACTTGCAGACAGACGACCAGAGGTTGCTTATGGAACTGTCCACGTGACTGCCGTGTACTCACGTGACTCTCTGTAATCTACGGTATACAAGCGGTGGTCTAGCAGGTAGTCAGCTGTGTTAGCGTGCAGTTAAACGCTAGGGCAGGGAAGTACGTTAACGTTCACTTCTGATCAAAGGTATACATTTAATGGACGGCAGGATAATAGACCTGCGTGAACAATCCTAAAGATTGAGCTATACATTAATTGAAAAGGATGGTAAATAAATTAACGTTTACTTCTAAATCAAGTAAATAGTAAATAAATTAATGTTTATTTGTCGATCAAAAATATACTCTGTATAAGCCATACTAAGAAAAAATACGATTAGATTCTGAAAACAAGCGATGTTTAAACAATAAACTTTCAATGATTTGAACTAACTCCACAACTATTTTCTACACATACTGTGGATATAAAGGGACGTAGACAAATGCAGTTCATATGAGCATAACTTGCAGCATAAGACAATGTGTAGTCACCGCTTGTTGGGTTAGATATTATTTAACATAGAGTATAAAATATTATTTTATTTCAGCTGATTTGTCACTGTCAGTTGATTGTAATAAACGTTAGGATTGGTGCGCAATAAACGACAGCATTTATTTCAATAGATAACCACCTTATAATCCCCTAATCAAACTGTGATCCCCACAATCCCCGTGTAGGTCGCCACAATCTTAGAGTGGTCTCCATAATCCTAGAGTGGTCCCCACAATGATAGAGTTGTCCCCACAATCCTAGAGTGGTCCTGCAATCCTAGTGATCCCCACAATGAAAGAGTGTCCCAACAATGATAGAGTGGTCCCCACAATCTTAGTGATCCCCACAATCCTAGTGGTCCCCTCAATCCTAGTGGTCCCCACAATCTTAGTGATCCCCACAATCTTAGTGGTCCCCACACTGTTAGAGTGGTCCTCACAATGATAGAGCGGTCTCCATACTGACAGCAAGATCCCCACAATAACATTGGATGCTGTAGATCAGGGGTCTCCAAACTACGGCCCGCGGGCTGGATGCGGCCCGCGAGGTCCTCTCATCCGGCCCGCGGAGATCTTTTTGTTCACGGAAAAAATACCATTGCCCTCCGTGTTGCAGACATTGATGAAAACATTGTGACTCAAGTAGTGAAAACTGCTAACAAGTTTCGCAATTTTTCAATTGCAATGGATGAGTTGCTGGACAGCTGTTCCATGTTTCAAAACCCAGATGAAGCAAATGTAACCAGTTGCCTAGATGAACTGCAGATGGAGGTAATTGAACTGCAAGCAAATTACTTCCTTAGAGACAAGTTCAAAAAATGGCGGGTGGGTTTTTGCGTTTGCCCAAGGAGAACAAACTTGGACATCGAGTGTGTTGTCGGTACCGACTGTGTTTCTTTCAGACTTTTTCTCCTGGGGGGGGGGGCATTTTAAATATATTTATATATTTCTATATAAATTATATTTCGTTGGGGGGGGGGGGGGATGCAGGGGACTCCGCCACCCCAAAGAGATGCATGGAAGAAACCCTGGCCCTCGAACTGATATTTGATAGTTAATTCGGCCCTCGGGTTGAAAAGTTTGGAGACCCCTGCTGTAGATAATCCAAGAACGGTCACCTCAATCGCACTCATCCCCAAAATCCGAGATTGTAGAAACCCAATCCCAAGAGTCCCCAACAATCACATAGCTGATGCATACTTTTTTTTTTACAGCATAAGAGGTATTGAAATCAGCGTTTAAAAAAAACGGTTTATTCAGTAGAATGTCAGGCCATTTACATACTCCATTGTTCTCACAACAAAATAAAAAGTTTATTTAATACAAAAGCCCTGATAAGTTGAAATAAAAGAATTACATTACAATGTGTTAAAATAGTTGACATTTTTCAAAAAATACGTTACAATGTGTTAAATGAGTTGAAATTGAAAACGCAAACTACGAAACTGGTTTATCAAGGGATGTAACTGGGAAACGTTTTATCAAGGGATGTAACTGGGAAATAAAAATAAGCAGCGGTGTTGAAAGAGTTGAAGATTTTAAAACAAAAATTATAATGAACCAATTAGAAGTTAATTAAAAATATGTGTTTAGTAATATTTCAACAACGGCAGGGTATTTGTGGTTGTCATTAGATTACCACATGGACAAGGTGTGTGGGATTACAATTACATTACAACACTGGCAAGGTATGGGTGGTTGTCTTAGAAGGGGTGTTTGGTTACCTCTAAAGTACAATAATGACAACTTTTTAAATTTGGTTACCCCTGGGATACAATACTGACAAAGTTTTAATTTGGTTACCCCTAGGGTACAATACTGACAACTTTTTAATTTGGTTACTGAGCGATATCAACGTTCATTAAGGCTCAAGTTCCAATGCTCAAAAAATCAAATAACGAAATGTATTGTAGTGTCGGTGATTGTCTGAGTGATCGAAGGCTTTGTTATCTCATGCTGACACATGAATATCTCAAGCTGACTCGTGTATATATGATACGATTGTAATGAGAAATAAAGTCAAGGACATACTGTAAGTAATACGGGATTTGTTCATGTTTACAGTATACGAGGCTCATACGGGCATGTTTATATCAACACTGAAATGTGTACAGGACAACGAGTCGTCGTATTTTTAATTGTAAGCAGTGAGTGCCAGTGAGTGGATGGAAGAAATAAGGAAAATATTAGGTGTGTGTGGGGGGGGTATGCAATATCGTGAGCAAAACTTATTATAGAAGATTATTATCAAAAGCGACATTGCCGTCAGTTTCTAGCTCACGAAGTGTCGATCTTCACAATTTAAAAATGCCGATCTTCACAATTTACAGACACATGACATTTCCGTCACTGGAGACGATTCAATGAAATCGTGGGGTAGGCAGGACTAGAGAGAATGGCATCAATATCTTTATGAAGTGGAGGGGCGTGTCTGTTACATTGATTGGGCGTATTTGTTACATGATTGGGCGTGTCTGTCAAATGATGGGGTAATTAACAAGGGATATGGTCGACGATTAAAAAAATAAACAAACGATTATTTAACTCAACACAACAAACGCTGGTATCCTTGAGTTAAAGACAAATAAAACCAACGTGTTTAAGATATGTTGACAGAATGTTTATGCATATTACATTACACTATCTGCAATTTTACTAAGAACATAAGGGTCTATCACACGTGCGACGTATCATGTTTGCTGTCAAAAAATAAAGGGCCTATTACATGTGCGACTTACCCCATATCATGTTTGCTGTCCCTTGACGGCTCCGTTGGCACGTGGGCGCCACCCCAGGTGGGGCTCAGGGGCACCCCGAAGGTGCTGGTGCCAGCCGTGTCGGCGCCCAGATCTCGCCAGCTGTTGACCCTTCGAATCATGTGAGCAACTGACCCACACGTCCAGGTGTTCACATGGCCTCACGCTAACACTGGGGGACAGAAGAAAGCTATTCCAATGTGTTTCCTTGCTCAAAGCTCACACTAACACTGGGAGACAGAAGAAAGCTATTCCAATGTGTTTCCTTGGTCAAATCTCACACTAACTTTGGGGAACAAGAAATATATCCTTAGAGTTTCCTTGATCAAATCTCACACAAACATTAGGGAAGAAATATATCCTTATAGTTTCCTAGTTCAAAACTTGCACTAACACTAGTGAACAAAAAAGGTATTCCAAAGTTTCCTAATTGAAATCTCACATAAACACTGGGAAAAGAGAAGAAATGAAATTCAATGTTTCCTTATTGAAAAACAAACGGATCAGCATTCACTTTAAAAACTATGAAAATATATCACAAATATCCGCATGTATAATGTTTTTTTTCCTTAGCTCCGAGCAGATGGCAGCACCCAAAAAAATCCTTACAAGAAAACATGTTTAAATTACACCAAACTCCAATCAAATTAAAAAAAATAACAAGGCAACAGGCGAATGTTTTTCTAGAAGAAGCGCTGCAGGTAGTGTAAAGCGTGTCGTCTGTCATGCAAATATTTGGCTGTACGAGCACGTTCAGGAGACTAAATTGTGTAATCACTAATTAAGATTAATGAGACGGATTAAACGCAGGCGGTGAATCATACAGGTTTTGTGTGTCACGTGTTCGCTCTCTAGATTTTTAAAGTCGGGGGTCGGAGATCGATTGAATTGATCACGTGGGGGACTTGGATCTTAGTGGGAGAGCGGCGTGGGAGGTGGGTGTGGCGAGTATGGTGTTGTGAGGGGGGGGGGGGGGGTTCATTCATGGTGTATGGTTGGGGTGTCGAGTATGGTGTTGGGGTGTTGTAGTGGTTGGGGGGGGGGTATTCATGGTGTATGGTTGGGGTGGCGAGTATGGTGTTGTGGGGGGGGGGGGGTTCATTCATGGTGTATGGTTGGGGTGTCGAGTATGGTGTTGGGGTGTTGTAGTGGTTGGGGGGGGTATTCATGGTGTATGGTTGGGGTGGCGAGTATGGTGTTGTGGGGGGGGGGGGGGGGTTAATTCATGGTGTATGTTTGGGGTGTCGAGTGTGAGGGGGGGGTTAATTCATGGTGTATGTTTGGGGTGTCGAGTGTGAGGGGGGGGGGGGGGTTAATTCATGGTGTATGGTTGGGGTGGCGGGTATGGTGTTGAGGTGGGGGAGGGGGGTTAATTTATGGTGTATGGTTGGTGTGACGAGTAAGGTGTTGGGGTGGGGAGGGGGGTTAATTTATGGTGTATGGTTGGTGTGGCGAGTAAGGTGTTGGGGTGGGGAGGGGGGTTAATTTATGGTGTATGGTTGGTGTGGCGAGTAAGGTGTTGTGGTGTGTGTGTGTGTGTGGGGAGGTTAATTCATGGTGTATGGTTGGGGTGGCGAGTACGGTGTTGAGGTGGGGGGGGGGGGGGGGTTTAGCGTACAACAAAGCTAGGCCACAGTCAAAACACGTCGACTTAAAAAAGAATTGTGACGCGGACGCTAAATTACTAGTTGCCGCGTCAGTACAACTAAATTGCTGTGTTTTAACAACCAGCGATAAAATCCGATGTTAATTAGCCATTCTTAATGAAGCCATCAAAGGAAGAAAACGAGTACCATACAATCTAAATGAACATATCCACCAACACCAAACGTGATCCTATAATTTACTAAGAGAGCCGCTTTGGTCTGACAAGTACTACTGAGTTAAATGCACTGCAATTATCAAAAGCAGGCGTTAGTATACCTACACACGCAACAATTAACGTCATTTTCATAATTGACGATGGCTTGTTACTATAATTAGCTAACGGGAAAACCCAGTCGCACAATGAGCAGCAAGCGGGGAACCCAACATCAGTTTCTATTTTGTATTGCATGGATCAATAATACATTTAGTCTTCAGGTCAAGATGGGGGGGGGGAGAGGTCGTATCCGTGGGTTTTTTTTGCCTATACATTCGTACACAGGATTATCACGTCAATGCATCTAGCCCCCCAACGTCGTACAAAAGATTATCCATGCCAATTTCTCTAGATTTCTACATCTGACAAAGTATAATCTATGTCAATATTTCTAAACTTCAACATCGTACACAGGATTATCTTTTTCAATATTTCTGGCCTTCAACATCGTACACAGGATTATCAATGTCAATAATCGAAGCCCTCAACAATCTTAATCGACCAGTGTTGCTCATATGGCTAACATGTCTGTAAATTTCTCGTTTTATGGCCACTTGAAATGGTTTCAACATTTTAAAAAATCGTAATACTAACATGGAAGCAAACACTTTTGATACCTTTCTATTGCCAACCAATACCATTCTATTGCCTACCAATACCATTCTATTGCCCACCAATACCATTCTATTGCCCACCAATACCATTCTATTTCCCACCGATACCATTCTATTGCCCATCAATACCATTCTATTGCCCACCAATATCATTCTATTGCCCACCAATACCATTCTATTTCCCACCAATACCATTCTATTGCCCACCAATACCATTCTATTGCCCACCAATACCATTCTATTGCCCACCAATACCATTCTATTGCCCACCAATACCATTGTATTGCCCACCGATACCATTGTATGACCCACCCTTGCCCAGCTGTGCTATCCTTATGTTGATATTAGAGTCTAACCTCCAACGAAAACCACAAGTTACCCAATAAATAAAATCGATATCCATTCATCCATTTTTCAGTAGCTTGTAAAATCCAGGTCAACAGTTAGACAAGTAGAAACACAAACCCACATGCTTGGCTACACCATGCTTAGAGTGGCTTCTGTGTGTACACACTATTTATGTACATGTCTAATATAATATGTACATTTTCAATCGATATGTACAAGTCTAATCAATATGTATTTTTCCAATTAATATACACATGTCCAATCTATATGTACATGCCCAGTTTATATTTAGATGTACAATCTATGTACATGTCCAGTGTATATGTACATGTCCAGTCAATATGTACATGTCCAGTCTATATGTACACCTCTGTACACCTGTGTTGAACATGGATCACTTGTTTACTCTAAACGTCACGGGTGTCCATACACACCTAGCATGTAAACGTACCAACAAATATACCGGTAGTTTGTAGCAGACTACTCCCTCACCAGAACCGATAAAAATATTAAATGTCCTTACGAGATGAAAACGAAATAAAATATCCATCAAAACAACAACTGCCTTGTTGTTTGGGGTTGGTTAGATAAAGCCTTTGGAAGCTAATCCGAAAAAAAAAAGGTTGAAATCGGAGCCAACGGTCTATATGGCACATAACAAAATGACACGTAGTACCTTACTGTGTGAGAGAAAATCCCATCCAACAATACAATTAAGAACGAAGAAGAAGAAGAAGAAATCCATACAAAAGAACACAACGCCAATGCGGAGCTACATCGCTATTGGGGGGGGGGTACCTGGGCGTCATATCCCCACAATGCCCCTATAAATTATGTAAAGATAACATGCAAAGACGTCCAATATAAAGAGCAGACAACCAACCACAGACAACCAACCACAGACAACCAACCACAGACAACCAACCACAGACAACCGAAGGACAAAAAGTCGAAACTTGATGAACATGCAAAAAAAAAAATTAAAAATTCCAATCCTAATTAAAATATTTTGTTCTAAACATCACTACACCACAGTATTGTTGCTGAGCGAGCCACGTCATTTCTACAGCAGCAGTTATTGCTGTTTTAGTATACGTTTTTGTTTTGTGTTTTTACATGAGTTGAGTACAAACTAATACCACATGCTAATATAGCTCTCTATAATACAAAGGAAAAACCACTATGATAAAATGTCCAAACAGAATTACACAGCTCAACATACTAATAAAAAGTCCACGACAAATAAGAAAATGGCCACCATGTATATGTATATGCCCACAATGACCTCGAGAAATATGTAAACGGTCACGATAGATGTATACCTAAAATAAAATCTCCTCAAGAAAATACATACGATAGTACTATATTTATGATTATGTGTCAATAAACATTTATAAAATCTAATAAATAACTTACTTAATAAACACTCATTTAATGGCATTTCGAAATATGCTAATTAACAGAGCACAGCAACTGAACACAGTGTATTTAAATGTCCTAAAGATATGCCGTATGAAACAGAACACACCGTATTAAAATTTCCGCAAGAAATATAACAGCAACCATCAGCTGTTCACAGGGAGCCAAAAGAACAAACTAAGCCAAGGTGAAAAAATGTTCTCTGGCGCTAGGTCTGGCTACTAGCCTAAACTGACAACTGGCACTGACAACTAACACTGACAACCATCAATGACAACTAACAGTGACAACTAACACTGACAACTGACAAGTGCCACTGACAACTAAAAGTGACGACACGAGGACTGCCAGCCTGTACGACTGACGACACGATGAGACATCACGCTTGACACTCACCGGTATTTCCACCGGGCTAGAGCATGTGCTAAATATAGAACTCACGTGATCGATATGGTAACACGTGCGAGGGTTTCGTCTTTCATCTGGTGCCCCCCCCCCCCCTTCTCTCTCTCTCTCTCTCTCTCTCTCTCTCTCTCTCTCTCTCTCTCTCACTCCAACAAGAAATATTAATTCACATACACAACCTGGGCCTACACAAACTTTAAAAAGCTGCGACGAATTACACGCTTGATTAATCCTATTCAGACTAAGTAACATTGTAACGTTCTTCTTTCTTAACTCGTACAGCCAAGAATGAGAAGCACCGGGGCACTTAATAAGTTGACACAACGTAGCTGTTGTACGTTAACTATTTCAAGGGAAAGAATGTTCAACAGTGACTCGCCGTGGACACATCGATATCTCATCGACCCGGCTCTAAAAACCTATCGAGTAAATGTCCCGCACTCAACGCCTTATCGCTGGCTTATCAATGGAGCACGACTGGTGATAGCATTCGGTGCAACGGTACACACGGGTGGGGGGGGGGGGGCGTAACATTGAGTGGTAGTGCTGCTGGTTACAGCACAACAGTAACATTCAAACACCTTACTGTTAGTAACATAGTTGTCACATTCATACATTCTACTGTTAGTAACATACTTGTAACATTCAAACACTCTATAGCTAGTAACATGCCTGTACATTCAAACACTATACTGTTAGTAACATACCTGTAACATCCATACACCCTACTTTTAGTAACAAGAGCCCTGCATGAAGAAGGTAAGGTACATGCCACAAACAATTAATGTTTTAACAACCTATCTAAAACCAACTCCCCAAACAACAACAGAGATGAAAATCTGTAAAAATCACAATACAAATGAGAGCAATACGTGTACTTGGTGATGTGTAAATACCGGTTATATGCGTGTGTGTTTGAACTGTTTAAGGTAATTCTAAACATTTTATCTTTTACTAGTAACACGCCAAAAAAATGAGCCTCCTAAGCACATTTTTAACACAACAGACACAACATAGGTCAGTAGTTGGACAACTGACACTATAGTTTGACAACAGGCAATACAGATTGACACTGAACTCCCTTGTTTGACAGCTGTCATAAAGGGGAGGGAATAAAAGGGAGAGAAGCGACAGGGGAAGCAACTACTGAAACACGCAACAGTTTAGTTTAACAAGAAGGTATTGAAGATGTCCAGACGGCATCAAGATTTGCTGCCATGTATCCAGGCTCGGGTCTAATCTTCCATCACGCAAACAGCCAATTAATTGGTGGAAAGTTTTATGATCACGTCATGCTGGTATGGTGAAATATGGTCAGTAGAGAACAGGGAGACTTGGATGTACTACAGCACAACAGTCATGATGGGTATGGTGAAATATGGTCAGTAGAGAACAGGGGGACTTGGATGTACTACTGCACAACAGTCTTGATGGGTATGGTGAAATATGGTCAGTAGAGAACAGGGAGACTTGGATGTACTACTGCACAACAGTCATGATGGGTATGGTGAAATATGGTCAGTAGAGAACAGGGGGACTTGGATGTACTACTGCACAACAGTCTTGATGGGTATGGTGAAATATGGTCAGTAGAGAACAGGGAGACTTGGATGTACTACTGCACAACAGTCATGATGGGTATGGTGAAATATGGTCAGTAGAGAACAGGGGGACTTGGATGTACTACTGCACAACAGTCTTGATGGGTATGGTGAAATATGGTCAGTAGAGAACAGGGAGACTTGGATGTACTACTGTACAACAGTCATGATGGGTATGGTGAAATATGATCAGTAGAGAACAGGGGGACTTGGATGTACTACTGCACAACAGTCTTGATGGGCTAAGGCTATAGTATTTTAATCACTGGCAGGAACTTGGTTTATCTGCAAACATTTCCTATACAAGATGTAGCTAAATAGACCCTTAAATTAATCTGGGGGCCCTACACAAATGGGCTCCACAGTGACGACCGTTGAATTAATCTGGGGGGGGGGGGGGGGGCTGCACGGATGGGTTCCACGGTGACGCTTGACTGACTTGATTAGCCAGATAAAATTGACAGCGTCCACATCCCGACGATCGCATCTTAATTGAGCCTGGATTATCTAATCAGGTGTGGAAGGCAGGTAGATGCAGGCAAGTTTATGCCCAAATCCCGTGGGAAACATATTCAGGTAAGTGGGGGGAGGTCAAGGTTGGCGGCTACAAAATATAAAAACGAGTGAATTAATTATTTTAAGTCTAAAATAGCCACCGCCCCACACCGCCGCCCACCCCCAATTAGCTACCCCACCCCCCACCATTTCTCCTTGGGCTACCGCTAATCTGATCAAGTCACATTCATCAAGTCAAGGATTCTCAAAGAGTTTAAATGTGGAGAGGACACGAGTAACATTAATAGCATTAGGCCCATGAGCCGACTAGGTACCAGAAGCCCTTTCCTGAGCCTGACGCATCCATCGCCACTAAGGTGGCTACTATCATATGAACACAGTAAGCTATGAGTATAATGTAGCTGAGAGAGGAATGCAGGACGTATAAAACTGATATAGACTGGGGCGTAGCGAGGGGGGGGGGGGGCGGGGGTGCGGACCGCACCGGGTGACACCATTTAGGGGGGTGACACCAAGGCAAAAAATAGCAAAATATATACAGAAGAATGATAATTCCACTTAATTAAGTGATTGATTCGAGTGTTAGATGGTCTTTTAAGAGGTGCAAATCGAAATTTTGAGGGGGGGGGGATGCAAATCGAAAATTGAAAGTTTGTCCCCGGGAAGGGTCGCTTCGCCTTTGGGGGGTGACACCTTTAAGTGCCCCACCGGGTGACACCCGACCTCGCTACGCCACTGGATATAGATAAAGGTATATTTTATAAAATTGATGTATAAAGATGAATGACTTTACTGTCCTAACATCACATAAACATCTGCAGATTTTTAAAAAAAAAAGATATATCAACTTTTCATTGAAATGTAAAGTAATATATGTGACAGTACATTATTTATACTTTAGGATGTGGCAAGATGTATATCCATACATACAAGGATTTGTTTACAAAATTAAGTATTCACAAGATCATCACAAAAATCAGAACATCACTGTTGAGGTGGTTTAATAAAAAAAATTGTTTCAATCACAAGAGAGATAGCAAGTAGTAAGGACCGTATCGAACATCTTTCCATCAACATGGAAGTATCTTATGTGTGTCGGTCGGGATGGGAGTGTGTGTGGGGGTGTGGGGTGTGTGGGGGGGGGGGTCTATAAATGTGTGAGAGAGACCGTGAGGAGACAATGAGACTAAGTGTCACGACCGGCTTACTGCTAATACCATCTGATCTGTAGCCGGTCAAGTAGCCGGTCAGCTTGGTCGAACCGGTCACAGATCACACGCTGGCTAATGTATGCAAGAAGGGCAGCTTGGGAAACCGTGGTCACATAAACTAAGGGAAGCTACCTACACGCATAATGGAAATAACCTGGGGACTAATACTAATAAAAAATGTATTTGGGTCTCAATGGAACGACCAGCACATCTAAGAAATAAATTAAGAGGAGAAATAAAAATGCATTATCAACAAAACTAAGAAAGAAAAGACCAACCAAACTAAGAAAGAAAAGACTAACCAAACTAAGAAAGAAAAGACAACCAAACTAAGAAAGAAAAGACTAACCAAACTAAGGAAGAAAAAACTAACTAAACTAAGGAAGAAAAGACTAACCAAACTAAGAAAGAAAAGACAACCAAACTAAGAAAGAAAAGACTAACCAAACTAAGGAAGAAAAAACTAACTAAACTAAGGAAGAAAAGACTAACCAAATTAAGAAAGTAAAAACTAACCAAACTAAGGAAGAAAAGACCAACCAAATAAGGAAGAAAAGACCAACCAAACTAAGAAAGAAATAAAAACAGCAGCGATAAGGAAGGAATAGCACATAGTACAAGTTTTATTTGAGTGATTTTAAAGATTTATCCCATCCAACTTGGCAAACCCAACTGAACAAAAATAGAAAGCCGGCACAATAAAATATGCCAGTTACACGTTAAAAATAGACCACACTTCATCATAGAGCAAGCCAATTTTTTTTCTAAACCACGATAGAAAATAGAGAAAAGAAAAAGTTGAAAGAATAATTGAAAGCCGGTGACATGAGGACGAAAGAGTGTTGATGTTTGTTTAGTTTGGCTCAGATTTAGAATATGTGCGTAGGACATTTTTAAAAAAGTTTTCTTGGAATAAAAATCTAACTCAACAAAAAACATCGCAGACACAAATAGAAGGAGGCTGCGATCTTAGTTTGATTTTGTTATCTCCTAATTCTAGTTTCTACCCGGCGTTTTAAAACACTTGCTAAAAATACTCGGCACCGATACTTGCTTTACTGCAGTGAGTTCGTAACAGACATTATCGCTTTTCCTGTGGTATGTTTGTAACAAGCATTTTCGCGAGTATGTAAAGAACAAGAAAACTATTTTTGACCAATTTTTAAACAGAACAAACCAAACCAAGCAGCAAACTTGTATTGACATGTTCTTAAGGACACTAACATACACGTATGAGCTTCTAGCATAATAACATGAAACAGTTTCCCGCATAAGGACTAACACCAACATGTACATACAAAGCTCCCTCAACAATAGCATATACCTCCCCCCCCCCACCAAC